TCATAAACGCCCAATACTCCCTAAAGCAAAGAACGGTCCTCAAGTACGGTGACGCTTCATATGACTACCCGTGCTGAGCAGCGGTATCAAATGAGCCATGCCGGCAGCCTTTAGCGCCGACCTTATGTCCTGCGCCGAAAGTGTCACCCGTTTCGTTGCGTCCCGAGATCGTTCATCCTCAGCAAGACATGACAGGTAGAACAGGAAGAGTGTAGCTGCCTTTTACAAAGCGGTACGAGCATCCTTCGACAGAAGCATACCATCCGGTAACGCCGCCGATACGATCCGGTCCACCTGGCCAGCGGCAAGACTGCGAACCTTTAGCGTGGTAGCAGTGGACAAACTTGTCCCCGAGGCATCCTTTGGAATTTGCACAGAAAGAGCAGGAACAATGATCTGCCCACTCGAAGAAGCCCCCTCCATGTAAATGGCTAATAACAGGATGAACAAAGATAAACCAAACCGGAAGAAGCATTTAATCAACTTCAAGCAGGGTCTGCTTACACAGACACACTTGGGCACACGGCTCCCCAGCAATGGCGAGGCAGCAGGCAGGCACGTGAAAAGCAACACACAGAGAGCGAGAGAGAAGGGGGAGAGAGATAGAGAGATAGAGAGGAAGAGCGGCATCAGCCACGAAAGTGAACGGGGTTCAATCGTCACTAATGCATCGGATTGAAGGGCTAACTTCATGAACAATAGGTAATCATCATTATTTTGCAGGGGAAACGGCACGATGGGCGCTGCTGTGATTTTTTGAAGGTTGCTTGGAAGGTGCTATACTACCTAATCCCTAAAAGCATTGAGGGAGAATAGAAATGCCTCGTATGTGAGGCTCAAAAAGAATTTGTCAATAATACCCGCAAGAATTGATGCTACTGGCATTTTGTGTGTGTGTGTGTGTGCGGCAATTTAATCTCCAAAATCTTGCATGCTTCTCTGCAATAATAATAATAATAATAATATATATATATATATATATATATATTCAGAGGGGAACAAAGAGCGGTACATGCGTCCATGACAAGTCTTTATGCAGGAGGAGCGAGTGTCATGGAAAACGCATGTTTCCCCTTAAGAAGTGCAATGACGTCACTGCTGCTCGTCACATCAGCACCGTCAACCTGTAGAATGCGCCATCCAACAACGCAGCAAGGCTCTACAACCCCTGCTGCACGGAGTGCCTCTGAAAAAGGAGTGTCGTTCACATTTTTGTCGGTGGGATTATCTTCGGAGTCGTCCCTGTAGTCTGAGACGGCCAGTCGGCGTATAGAGGGACGCTCCCCATACAGAGAAAACCCCAACGGTGCGGTTGCGTTAGCTCGCTTGGCGTGAATTGTGAGGGTGTCCAGTTGGGTTGCCCTTTCGGCTTGAGCGCATGCCCTAACAGAGCCATCCGCAACGGCAGCACCACCGTCCATTAGGCGATGCATCGCCTTTTCTGCACGCCACTTTTTCCGCTGTTTTTTGACATGAAACAACAGGCTGTGGCGCACTGCAAGCAGACGCACGTGCACACCAAGTAACTCATAAACGCCCAATACTCCCTAAAGCAAAGAACGGTCCTCAAGTACGGTGACGCTTCATATGACTACCCGTGCTGAGCAGCGGTATCAAATGAGCCATGCCGGCAGCCTTTAGCGCCGACCTTATGTCCTGCGCCGAAAGTGTCACCCGTTTCGTTGCGTCCCGAGATCGTTCATCCTCAGCAAGACATGACAGGTAGAACAGGAAGAGTGTAGCTGCCTTTTACAAAGCGGTACGAGCATCCTTCGACAGAAGCATACCATCCGGTAACGCCGCCGATACGATCCGGTCCACCTGGCCAGCGGCAAGACTGCGAACCTTTAGCGTGGTAGCAGTGGACAAACTTGTCCCCGAGGCATCCTTTGGAATTTGCACAGAAAGAGCAGGAACAATGATCTGCCCACTCGAAGAAGCCCCCTCCACGTAAATGGCTAATAACAGGATGAACAAAGATAAACCAAACCG